AAAAATTATTTAAAAAATGGCGTGGGGACCCCCCTCCCATCCATACCAAGCCCTTCGGGTCTGGTATGGATTTTTAGGGGAACTGTCACACCACAATTTGAAAAAAAAAAATGCTGTGGGGGTACCCCACAAAAGCCATACCAGACCCTTATCCGAGCATGCAGCCCAGTAGGTCAGGAAAGGGGAGGGGACGAGCGCCCCAACTCCTGAACCATACCAGGCCACATGCCCTCAACATGTGGGGGTGCTCTGGGGTGGGGGGCGCCCCCCCAAAGCACCTTGTCCCTATGTTGATGGAGACAAGGGCCTCCTCCCCACAACCCTGGCAGGTTGTTGTGGGGGTCTGCGGGCAGGGGGCTTATCTGAATCTGGAAGCCCCCTTTAATAAGGGGGCCCCCAGATCCCAGCCCCCCATGTGAATGTGTTTGGGATACATGGTACCCCTACTCATTCACAAAAAACAAAAACTGTAGTATGAACAAAGACAGGACACGGTCTTTGACAAGTCCTTTATTAAAAGAAAAAACTAAAAGAATGTCCCCCGCAGTAGATCCAACGTCAATCACGATGCCCGCTTTCACCGCTGCTGCCGCCAGTGACCTAAAAAAAGAATTAGAAAAAAGGTTCTGCTCCCGATGATGGCTTCCAGCCTTTTACCTGCTCCAGTGGTTTGACAGTTCTTATATATGTAAGGGGCGGGGACACCCGGGGACATCACGCATGTGACCACACCCCACGACATCAATGATGTCACATGGGGCGGGGTCACTCTCATTGTAATTGTTTCTATGTACAGCATTTTCATTTAGTAAAAGCACATTAATACACTACCGAGGTCTAAGTTTCCTTGCTTATAACGCAAAGTAACCTTAACTAGGATTTGCATTAAAGTTCAACTGGAGCAGACCTGTTTTCTGTGGTGTGTTCTGCGTAAGCTGTTTAGGAAAAAAAAAAGGCTCCAGAGGTTTCTGGTGACCAGGCGGCAGCATGCACTCTTCTTAGCTGGGCCAGAAATAATGAGTGGGAGCCTCTTGCTAAAGAATTTGTAAAGTATGCTTCTCCCTTGAATAAGACTCTGGATGATAAAGTCTCTTGCTAAAGAATTTGTAAAGTATGCTTCTCCCTTGAATAAGACTCTGGATGATAAAGTCTCAGATAATTTTGTGAATTTTAGCCTTGAGGGGTTTAATTTATGTAAAGCAGAGAAGAGGACAGAGTGGGTTCCAGAGTGGGTTGGTACTTTCTTCATGCTTTCTATACTGAATCACAAAAGAAGAAGAAGGCAGAGGCAGAAATTAAGGCAATAAAAGACCAGCTACCAGTTGCTTTGGAGTGTGTACGTTCAACTGCTAGTTGGGCTGATGTTTTGCAAGAGCAGTGTGCAGCCCTCATGACCAAATCAATTAATGCCTTAAGGAAAAAGAAGGACCATAAACCTGTTAGTAAAGCCAGGGTAAGTGCCATTGTCACATCCCAAACCTGGGATTGTGGGGATGTGCTTACCTCAAATGATAATGAGGATGAGGTGATAGAGTTTGATATTTCTGATGATGAACTTGTAGTGGGAAAGAAAAAAAGTGTTCCAGAACTCTCATTACTAAGCATATGAAAAGGCAACATTATAGAGAGGATATGGCAGATGAGGAGGTCCAATACCGCAACCCCAGAGATGTGGAATTTGAAAAAGGAAGGAAGTTTACGCAGACCAAACAATACAAACAGAGGTCTGGGGAACCCCTATTGAGTTGGCTCCTACGTTTGTGGGATGAAGGAGCGAACAGTGTTAACCCATAATCCGCATTTGTGTCAGGCCATGTGAAAGGCCTGAAAATTTACAGTGAATACCTCATGAATAAACGCTAATCCTAGTGATCTGGAAAATACCTACTCATGGAGAACAATAGAAGGCATTTCCAGGTTACGTGAGATGAGTTGTATAACCAGATTAAATAAGTATCCAGAATGGATGGGTCCAGATATGGAACACTTTTTACATCTGCTCTGCGCTCTAAAAACTGATGAAGTCTGCACCACGTAATCTTGGGGCTCCTTTATTGTCCTTGTTAGGGGGCCTGGGATTAAATAGCAAAATTCATGAAGCCACTACCCTTTTAAGCCAGTTGTGGGAGCTAGAGGAGACGAAAACAAAACCTGTCAGGGCATTAGATAAGGTCAAGGCCAGACAGGAGGAAAACCAGCACAGAGAAGAAAGGGAATACAGAAAAGAGACAGGAGGTGAACAGAAAACCAGGTTAGATATCTCAAGGAAACAAATGTGGGTGGGCCTATTAAAGGCAGGAGTGCTTAAATATGAGATAGAGGGGATTTCTACTGCAGAATTGCCTAAGGAGGTGGAAACAGTTAGTGGGGAAACATGTCAGCATTAGGAACACTATTCCTAGTGAAGATAACATCAACCTAGATTTAGAGGAGACAAACCCCTCCTGTTAGCCCCAAACCAATTCCCAACACTGCACATGAACCTAAACCCAAATCCCTTTATCCTGGGTTGAAGTTAGACTCAGAAAGGGGAACTGGGAGGTTCCTTGTCAGTTAGGAAGGGAAGGTGGGTCTCCTGTGATAGTAGTGAGGACAGTGAAAGCTGGAGACTGACGCCCATATGCACCTGTCACTGTATGGTGGGGAAAGTCATCTTCTCCTACACATGTGGTGACTGAAGTTACACTTTTGCAAGGAAATCCTTCCCAGCACAAAGTAGAAGTGATTCATGTAGAAGGTTTGGGAGGGCAAACCACACCAACAGTTAGGACATGGGTGATTTTAACTATTGGCAAGGGACCAGGATTGTGGACAAATGTTTTGGTATCATAGTTACCCGAAAATATTCTTGGAATAGATGTACTTCAAGGTTAGTCAATTCAGCCTAAATGGAGTATATTCACATTCGGGTATCCTGATAAAGCGTATCTGGTTAGGGCGGTGAAGACTGTGGTCAGAGGCCATGCGAAATGGACCCCTGTCTACATTCCTCCAACAGAGAAGCCAGTCTGTCTCAAGCAGTACAGACTTCCTGGAGGCCACAAAGAAATTGGGGAGACTGTTCAAGAACTGTTGCGATTAGGAATCCTTAGACCTGCTGTAAGTCCTTTCTCATCTCCAGTGTTCACTGTAAAGAAACCTGGAGGGACATATAGAATAACTGTGGATTAAAGAGGTCTAAAAAAAAGTGGCACCTCCATTGAAGTCAGCTGTACCTGATATGATCTCCATCATTGAGAAAAGTGCTAAATAGGCAGGAGAATATAATGCTGTGATAGACCTAGCTAATGCTTTTTTTCTCGATTTTGATAGACCTGCAGTGTCAGGACCAGTTTTCCTTTGTGTGGGATAGCCTCCAGCACACTTTCACTGTCCTTCATTCATGAAGGCTACCTTCATTCTCCAATGATTTGTCATGGACTGATTGTCCGAGATTTCAGTACCCTGAAACTGAAAATGGCTGTGTTGGACTTTGTCGATGACATCATGACCTCTGGGACAAAAAAAAAAAAAAAAAAAAAGATGGAACAAACATTGCACCTGCTGATACAGTTCATAGAGAATAGAGGATGGGCTATCAACAGAGCCAAAGTCCAAGAACCTGCCACACCACGGAGGTGAAATTCATAGGAATGATGTGGACTGGGCCACAGAGGAAAATTCCAGAGACAGTTGTTCAAATTATCTAGGCACTGTTGGACCCTACTACCAAAAAGGAGGCACAGAAATTCATTGGAGTTGTGGGATTCTGGAGCTCATTCATCCCACATCTTGGACTGATACGGAGGACTATATACAGAGTTTTCATGAGGTTCAAAGCAGCAGACCTCATTCCTCGCTGCTAAGGAAGCCATTTTGCAGCATCAGGGATTAGGACTTGTGGGACAAAGACTATCATTTCAGCTGGATGTAGAGGAACAGGATGGTACTATATCTTGGAGTCTGGGGCAGCCAAATGAAAAGGACAGAGAGCAATACCCTAGCAGGGTATACAGCAGCCAGCAACTGAGAGGGACACAGAAGAGATACGTGACCCTAGATAAGCACCTGTTTGGGGCCTACACAGCACTTCAATATGTAGAGACCAGTACAGGAAAGGATCCAGTCACCACCCACACTGCATTGCCAATAGCATTATGGGTGAGAGATAATGGACTGATCACTAGGGCAACTGTAGCTTAGAACCAGACACTGATGAAATGGAAGTGGTACGTTCAAGAAAGAGGGGGTTTTGCAGCTGGTGATGTAAGAGACATTTCAAAACAGTTGGCAGTTGGCCAATCTCACACCGCGCTTTCACTTGCATAACAATGCCACTCTCAGCTGCACCCTGCACAAAGATTTTCCAGCTTGCGGGACCACAATCTATGTGCCAGCAGCCTGAGAGTGATTGTCACTCGGTTAATTAAGCAATTAATTCTTTAAACTATCATCACTGCCTTTTTACTGAGAAGAAGGAAACTCACAATCTTAGCAATAACACTATGATTTTAGTATAAACATCTGCAACACACAGTCACCACAGACCGGTATATTCAGAGGATTATTATATACAGTAGCACTCTGCAAGAGGCAGGGATTCTTTAGTTTGCATTAAAAGCCTTAGAGATAGTGTAACGGAAGCGTAGGCAGGACAGAGCACACGGAGAAGATGGGGGACACACAAAGCTTTATTGAAGCAACAAAATGACAGACACTCAGTGGGGAAATGGCAGGGAGGGTGATGTGTGCGCAAACCAGGGACGATTCCAGGCACGGGGGGTCTTCAGCGACAGGCAGGCAATCTCCCCCTAGGCTTGGGGCCTCAGCCGAGCTCCCTCTGTGACTGGACAGTGGATTGGAGACTCGGACAACAGGCGGCAACCTACCACTAGGCAGGGACCTCGGGCAACAGACGGCAACCTACCACTGGGCAGGGGCCTCGGACAACAGACGGCAACCTACCACTGGGCAGGGGCCTCGGGCAACATGCGGCAATCTACCACTGGGCAGGGGCCTCGGGCAACAGGCGGCAACCTACCACTGGGCAGGGGCTCGGGCAACAGGCGGCAATCTACCCCTGGGCAGGGGCTCGGGCAAAAGGCGGCAACCTACCACTGGGAAGGGGCCTCGGGCAACAGGCGCAACCTACCACTAAGCAGGGACCTCGGGCAACAGGCAGCAACCTACCACTGGGCAGGGGCCTCGGGCAACAGGCAGCAACCTACCACTGGGCAGGGGCCTCGGGCAACAGGCGGCAATCTACCCCTGGGCAGGGTCTTGGGCAACAGGCGGCAACCTACCACTGGGCAGGGGCTTCGGGCAACAGGCGGCAATCTACCCCTGGGCAGGGGCCCCGGGCAACGGGCGGCAACCTACCACTGGGCAGAGGCCCCGGGCAACAGGCGGCAACCTACCACTGGGCAGGGGCCTCGGGCAACAGGCGGCAATCTACCACTGGGCAGGGGTCTCGGGCAACGGGCGGCAACCTACCACTGGGCAGGGGCCTCGGCGAACAGGTGGCAACCTACCACTGGGCAGGGGCCTCGGGCAAAAGGCGGCAACCTACCCTTGGGCAGGGGTCTTGGGGACTCAACGGGACTCTAGCTGTGGAGTCTGGCCTCAGCACAGCTCCCACCCAGCTTTCTAGGGACATTGGGTTCACGGAGACTCAACGGGTAGCGATGGCTCAAGTACTCAGGGGCACCACAGGTAGCTATACTCCGGGCACGCCCTGGGGCGGTTCAAGTAAGGGTAGTCTAGGCATGTAGTAGGGCAGTGCCTAACCCAGGTGGTCTGTGCACACAACAGACACAGTTCAGGACACGGGTGGTCAGTGCACACAGCGGGGCAGTTCGGAACACGGGGGTGGTCAGTGCACACAGCGGGGACAGTTCAGGACATGAGTGGTCGGTGCACACACCGCGGACAGTTCAGAACACGGGTGGTCGGTGCACACAGCAGGCACAGTTCAGGACACAGATGGTCAATGCGCACAACAGGGACAGTACAGGACACAGGTGGTCGGTGCACACAGCGGGGACAGTTCAGAACAAGGGTGGTCGGTGCACACAGCGGGGACAGTTCAGAACAAGGGTGGTCGGTGCACACAGCGGGGACAGTTCAGAACACGGGTGGTTGGTGCACACAGCAGGCACAGTTCAGGACACAGGTGGTCAGTGCGCACAACAGGGACAGTTCAGGACACAGGTGGTCAGTGCGCACAACAGGGACAGTTCAGGAAACGTGTGGTCGGTGCACACTGCGGGGACAGTTCAGAACACAGGTGGTCGGTGCACACAGTGGGGACATTTCAGAACACAGGTGGTCGATGCACACAGCAGGGACAGTTCAGGACACGGGTGGTCGGTGCACACGAGGACAGTTCAAAACACAGGTGGTCATTGCGCACAACAGGGACAGTTCAGGACACGGGTGGTCGGTGCACACAGTGGGGACAATTCAGGACACGGGTGGTCGGTGCACACAGTGGGGACAGTTCAGGACACAGTTCAGGACAGCTTGCAGACCCTCAGAGGCAGGTGGCTCCAGACAGGGACGACCAGTGGTCAGCATTCCAGGGACATCCAGCGATCAGCAGACAGCAGCAGCTCCCAGGGCACTCAGCAGCAGACAGCCTCCAGGGACATGCAGCCACGGATAGTGTGCAGGGTCCCTCAGCAGCAGCGCCCAGGGCACTCAGCAGCAGACATGGTGCAAGGGTGCTCAGTAGACAGGCTTACAGACTTGCAGGGTCTGGCAGGGTCTCAGCTGTGGGGTCTGACCTTTGAGGAGAAGGCTCATGCAGAGCTGTGGAGACTCCCAACCCTGGGGTATTGCAGAGGGCTACAGTCCTGACATTTTGGGGGTCTGCAGAGTGCGCAGGGGGGATGGCTGGGGAGGCTCCATCCCCCTCAACCGAGCCTCCCAACATCTTTCTGGGAGCAAGATGATTCCAGCAGCATGGACAGGAACAAAGAGAGGAGGGCTGCTTCCTGTGCGGGTCTTTTGAAAACCATGTGGGATGCGGCTAGGTTGCCTCAGCAACGGCCGGCCCAGCCCTGTCCATGGAAGCTCCACAGACATCGGAATGTGCAAGGGTGGAGGGAGGGGTGGAGGGATATGGCAGGGGATGGGAGAGGCCCTGGCAGTCTGTGACAGATAGTTTTAACACTTTCCAAAATAGGGTTTATTAATGAAAAGGTCAACTGGTGCAATTAAGATATTTACTGAAAGGATGTTACAAAGACATAAGGAAACAATAATGCAACAGAGAAATCAAAGGAGGTGAAAATGGAGAAAACTTGCAAAGTCCTTGGTTTTAGCAGAGTCCAATTGTCCAAGCAAAAACATTGCCATGGCTCTCTTGGGTGTTCCTTGGTTGATATTAAAATGGGAACTTCCTTAACTTCCTCATCCCCTTTTCTGTGATGCCAAAGGGGTGTGGACAGAGACCCTCTGACCAATCATCCAGTTTAAGGGATGGATGTTGGGAGGTCACATTTATGACCAAGTCCCAAATACAGTTTTATACAAATATTAATATCTGCCAACATATGCAGGTTGTATTCTAGAAACTGGCAGATTATTATTCAGAATTATATTTTGTATCCAGGGATACCAAACACAGAGTACCTTGGAGGAATTTGTCACCCGTGTGGCAGGAGACTGCTTTCTCCCCTTTTGTATGTGCTAACATAGTCCTGTATGACCTTGATTTTCTCGGTATAATATTCCCCATTCAAATATATACCTAATATTAATGTGTCCTGTTCCTGTTAAATTTTAGGAATTGTGTATGGATTGTTAACTTGCGGAATTGACATTTTATGACACACTATGCATTCCTATAGCTTTAATGGCCTTACAGGTCAAGTGTGATAGACTTGACTGAGTTATTATGATTTTACGATAGGGCAGACGGAAAAGTTTTTCATGGTTCATGAAAACAGACATCCTGCCAAGACTAATTAGCTGTTCACAGCTGGCATCTAGGCCTGGACTCTGGCGTGTGTTTTAGTGGAGACAAGAGGCTCTTTTGAAGTGTGTTACAAGTTACAGCTACAAACTTGCATGAGGAGGGAGGGAGTAAGGTTACTGTTAATGAAAAGAAAATGGCTGAGGCCTTAACAAGATGGCTGTCGCACACAGCTTCCATGTCCCTATTGCGCACAATCATTACATTGTTGCACTGAAGTGGACACCTATTCAGGACCTTTGCTTTGTCATCCTTGCAAACATGCAGATTAAGCTTCAACTGCTTCAAAAACTTGTTGGTTATGGCTGTCCCAAACAGGTCCAAAGTGATAACAACTCACGCTTCACTGAATCAACAGTACAGCAATGGGCCAAAGATTCTGGAGTGTAGTAGTTGTGCCACATCCCATACTATCCACAGACAGCTGGTTTGATTGAAAGATACACACACACACTAAGGGGATGGGATCGGGTCCACAGGCAGTTCTGTTAAATTCTAGGCCAATAGCCAAAAGTACACATGAGAGGATGGCGGGGGCTGGGGCACAGATTTCACAGGTGGAGTGCAGAGTCCAGTATTTACATAAGGTACCTGAAAGAACAGGATTTAACAGGTACCAAGTTACTACTTCCCATGAAATATAAACCACGAATGACATATCTGAAGCTGAAGCCTATTGTCACGGTGTAAGGTCAGGTTCAGAGACCAGTTGCTATAGCAGTAAAAGGCTTACCTGGAACCAGCAGGATAGGTACACCAGCGGATCCCCCTGGGAATGACGCAGGCTCACCTGAGGTGCGGGTCTAAGTATTAACCGGTATTCACCAGAGCTCCTAATGGTGGAGATGGATTGGGCTGCGTGTTAATACCAGGTCGCAGATCTCAGGATCACCCCACCAGGAAATGAGCAGACTGGGAACCAATAGCGGATCAACAGGTTAGGGATCAGCCGAAAGCAGAGTCAGTCACAAGCCAAGGGTCGGTCACAAATGGTAGCAGATCAATCGTAGTACGTTAGGATGAGACAAAATCGTGGTCAGGAACAAGTCAAAGATCAGTAGCGGAGGTGTAGACAGCAGCAGGAACAGTAGCAGGATATTGGCTGGAAAGGCACAATAATCTGGCAAGGAGGAAGTCCAAGGACATGGCTTATATAGGAAGTTCATGGGAGGAGCAAAGAGTTCAAGGTTCAAGAGCAAACAAGGCACAAGGCAGGATTATCCAATAGATGAGGCAGAGTGTTGTCCAGCATCCTAGGTAGCTCAGTGAGAAGAGTTACTGCCTGACACAGTAGAAGTCCAGGTTCAAGTCCAGGCCCTGACACCTATCTAGTAATGAGAGGGAATCTGGCAAGAAGGTTTGAAGTTATATTTGCATTGGAAGATGAGCTTCAAGACAGTGGCTGGGACTCTGTAAGGGATCCAGGTATGACCAGAGATGTGTGGACTGACACAGGGAAATAGCAGGCTTCAGAAATGGTGAAATAATAATAAAATGTATTAAGAGTTGCACAAAATAAACAAACGCAGTGCAAACAAAACCAAACCTTAAACTAATATTACTACGTATAAGTGTAGTCAGAGGTGGAGTGGTCAGGCAGGCTGGGTCAGGAACAATCAGGCAGATAAGGTACAACAGGAGCAGGCAGGAGAATGGTCAGGAATAGCCGGGGTCAGTGCAGGCAGAGTTCAAGCAGAGTCAGAGTCCAGCAGGAGGGTCAAGCAGGCAGAAGACAGCATACAGGATCCAGACAACAGGGCACATGTAATCAAGGCCTTGATTACAGGCCTGGTACTGCTTAAATACACCTCCTGCAATCAGCCTCAAGTGATGGCTTGATTGCAGGAGTGAGATCCTGACACACCCGCTGGCAAGCACCGGTACTGCAGCCCACACAGGAGGTGAGCCCATTCCTGGCAGACTCTGACTGGTTAGTGGACACTTCTCAGCAAGAGTGGAAAGTGAGGCTCTATAACAACAAATCTTCCAAAATAAACAGCAATGATCTTCTGGGAAGAATCAGTATACTTCCTCTCCTCCCTATCAATGTTTATTGGGAGGATCAGAAGTGGATACAGGCAGGCGGCAAAGTGTTAGTCAGAGATTGAGGCAAGAAGCCAGTTAAAGAAGAAATTGTAGCTAAAGGGCCAGGGTCTATTGTGTATGTATTATTAGAAGGAACAGATAATTCGCATTGTTTTCCACTCCATAGGTTGTCTCCAATTTAAACCATAGGAAGACTAAAGAATGTGACTTCATTATGAGCAGATGATGGAAGACTGCAAGAGCTTTGGAGAGCAAGGCCTTTGATGTGTCCCAAGCCTGGGCTTGTTTATAATGGTCATTTTATAATGAACTTTTGCTAAAGACTGAAGCACCTTTTCAGTGTCAGAAATATGGAGGGGTGGCTTTCAAGGTGAAAGAATGTTTAGTAATGAAGTGATTTTCTGTGTGGTATATGTACTGTAGTGTGAGAAAAAAAAATCAAAGGTGTTATATATACACCCTGTTCCAAATTATTATGCAAATGATATTTTTCTCATTTCCCTAAATAATTGATGTAAATAACAGTCAGCATAATTCTCATGTTATCAACTATTAAGAGTTCAATTCACATTTTATTGAACAAACCTTCTAATGATAACAGGATTTTTTTTAAACATAAAAAACTTACAATGTACGGTTCCAAATTATTACACTCAGTAAGTTTCAAAACACTTTATAGGTTGTAAAGAACTGAAAATTGTCATTTGTTGTGTTTGCAGCATATTTACTGAAATCAAAAGCCATTTCAATCAAACTTTTAACAACATTTTAACTTTTTACACATTTTAACAGGTCACGTTACATTGTAACATAGTACCCCTTATTTGATAGCAGCTTCACAAGTCTTGCATCCATTGAACTTGTGAGTTTTTGGACAGTTTCTGCTTGAATTTGTTTGCAAAGATGTCAGAATAGCCTCCCAGAGCTGCTGTTTGGATGTAAACTGCCTCCCACCCTCATAGATCTTTTGCTTGAGGATGCTTCAAAGGTTCTCAATAGTACTGAGGTCAGGGGAGGATGGAGGCCACACCATGCCTCTCCTTTTATCCCCATAGCAGCCATTGATGCAGAGGTATTCTTTGCAGCATGAGATGGTGCATTGTCATGCATGAAGATGATTTTATTACGGAAAGCATAGTTCTTCCTTCTGTACCAGGGAAGAAAGTGGTCAGTCAAACTCCACATATTTTGCAGAGGTCATCTTTACACCTTCAGGGACCATAAAGGGGCTGACCAGCTCTGTTCCCGTGATTCCGGCCCAAAACATGACTCCACCATTGCCTTGCTGACGTCGCAGCCTTGTTGGAACAGGGTGGCCGTCCACCAACCATCCACTACTCCATCCATCTGGACCATCCAGGGTTGCACGGCCCGCATCAGTAAACAGAACTGTTTGAAAATTAGTCTTCATGTATTTTTCTGCCCAATGCAGCCGTTTCTGCTTGTGAGCATTGGTTAGTGGTGGCTGAATAGAAGGTTTATACACAGTTGCAAGACTCTGGAGGACTCTACACCTTGATGTCCGTGGGACTCCAGAGGCACCAGCAGCTTCAAATATCTGTTTGCTGCTATGTAATGGTATTTTAGCAGCTGCTCTCTTGATCCGATGTATGGATCTGGCAGAAATCTTCCTCAATGTGCCTTTATCTGCACAAACTCGTCTGTGCTCTGAATCAGCACAAATCTCTTAATAGTGCGATGATCACGCTTACGTTTTTGTGAAATATCGAATGTTTTCATACCTCGTCCAAGGCATTGAACTTTTTCACTCTTTTCGGCAACAGAGAGATCCTTTTTCTTCCCCATATTGCTTGAAAATGGTGCTCTGCTTAATAATGTGGAACACCATCCTTTAGTAGTTTTTCCTTAAATTGGGCTCACCGGCCAATCTAATTATCACAGGTGTCTGAGATTGTTTTCAGTGATCAAAAGAGCTGACA